GTTCACCATAACTGTACATCTCGGCTTGTATGGTGAGTAAAGGCAGAAAGACGTAGCTACTCACACAGTCAGCTGATCGGCGGCCGCCCTCAAGGCCAGACGCACTAATATTTCTCCTCCAACAATATTGTTTGTGGTGTTATTACACTATATACACACATTATATATAAGTATCTACCTGTTTTATTCACCATACCTGTACAAATAAGCTGGTATGGTGCCCAAAGACCATAGTGGCCACCAGTAAACAACATGCCAAGTCGTGCAGACGACGCTCCTCCCTCACCAAAATGGCGGCTCCCAACTTACTCCTCTCGCTGTTATCACACACTATACACACGTTATATGTAAGTATCTACATTTGTGTTCACCATAGCGAACCACTAAGCTGGTATGGTGAGTGCAGTCAATAAATGGTGGCCACACAGTCAGAAGACAACGCCACAACCCTCCCTCTCACAGCTTTACTCCTCTCTCCATGGAAGTGCTAAATATCACCACAATCCTGCTATTATCAGAATCTTGGTCAGTTTTATCACAGTCAGGGGGCTTCAGTAATACTATCACTGCTAAATAATAGTAGTATCAAATATATTTTGGCATTTGTAGGCGATGCTGTGGTCACAAGCTGAACAGCGGTGCTGTGAGCTCGTGCTGCGTGCGCCAGCCTTGGTGGCTTGCTAATTACTGATGCTATAACACCCAAGAATGTTGGCCTGTATTTTTTTTCTAGGTGGCATCTGGCAACTATCGGTCGTGGCTGTACTATAGCTGCCCCTATCCCAGGCGGGGCGTTTAAATTATAGCGCTAGACACGAAATCATATATAAATGATGTGCGGGGTTTCGGTTTTGTCACTGATATCATTTATACATGATATACGCGGTTTGAGGGTTAAGGTACAGCACACCCCACTTAACTTGTACATCTATAACACGCAACACGTGTTCACTAGTCAAGCCCCAGAGAACTTAACACGTGGAACTCAAAAGAATAGACTAGGACACAATTACACTTAGAACATAAAGTAAACACTAATAGTATTTACTTATCCTGTACAATAAAAATTAAGGAGAGAAGAGACTGGAAAGAGGTAAGAAGAGAGAGCCCACAGTCCAAGTCCGACCCGTTGGTAGTTTGTGTAGAGATTAAATTTACTCGAGTGTGAACAACTGATTGTACAGTAACAGGATGCTTGTCCTTCAATACAATATTAAATTGCCACTCTGCAGTTCTAAGTATAGCTAACATCCTAGCTTTACAATACATTAACAGAATGTTAACACAGCGTACAGTACTTTCAACTCTGAGCATCTAAAATGCTCTTACGTCTGGCAAGGAAACGATCGACCGCTATTTGGCAAGATGCGGTTTCAGTCCACTTGAATATAAAATGTTCACTTCTTCTTAAACTCCAACCTAACAAACGAACTATAATTTAACAAGCCAAAATCCCACAATTAATCCATAACTTTCAGTGCCTATCACTATAAAATACTTAAGAGTGAATAATTCCTATTACATGTGTGTAAACAGAGATACTACAATCCTGGGTTCCTTTGCAGAGTTCCAAATTGGACTCGGGGTCGTAACAGAGTTCTACAGGGAAGATTGATCCTTGTGGCTCCCTGGCAGTTGACCCAGCCTTGGTTTCAGGTGCTGCTTGTTCGGTGTCTGAACCTGGCCGTATTTTGGCGGCTCCGCTTCTTCCAGAAGATTGGTCCAGTGACGTACCTCGCTGGTTCCTCCTTCTCCAGTCTTCGTGTCTCAGGTTCTGACGCATGTTATTTCCATCTCTGTGGTGATCAGGTGGCTGGTTTTCTGGTGTCCCACCGGTGGTCCTTCTCTCAGCAACAGAATGAAGTTTCATTGACATGCTTTCTGCCAATTCCTCACCCCTCATCGTTGTTCTTCAGGGTAGGTTTTGGGTGTCCTGTCTTTTCTTTCTTGGTTTCTCTGGTTCAGAATGCCGAATACTGTTGCCTCAGATTGTGTGGTGCTAGTGAGCTGCAGCAACTTGAATTTGAGGTTGATACTTCCTTGGCCCTGTTTTGAAATCTTTCTTGAGCACCGTTTCACCTCCTGGCTTTCTCATGCATGGTCTAAGCCTGCATAGTTTTTTGGCCCCTATTCTTTCTTTTTTTCCTGCTCGTTTTATGGTGTCCCCTTCAGTCTGTGTTTGTTTTTATACGACTTTTTGTTCCCTTCACTTCCGGATTTTTGTTCCTTCAGGGGCCATGGTACCAGGATATAAAAAATTGTTGTAGGGTATTCATAATTTATTATCCTGATACATGTGAAAGGTGCTGCACCTAGGCCAAGTTTCAGCATCTCAGCCTAAATAGAGACGAAGAAAAAAAAAAAAAATTGAATTTTTCAACCATGTTCAATTGATTTCACAGCCCACAATTGTGAACCAAAATCATTTCTACGACACGCAGGTATGACCTTACTATATAATAAAGATTTGCATGTCACATCATTATCCCAGATGTATTTAGTGCAATAATACAGATTTATAAAAGTTTCCCAAAAACGTATGCAACAAAATGAAGTGTATCATTATTTATAAAATCAGTAAATCTACGTAGATAAGAATAATGACATCCGTTTATAGAGGCGTAAACTCTACATATAATGTGCAAGTTTCATGTAAATTGAATAATAAATAAAGGCTGTGAAACCAGATCTAGTTGTAAAAGTTGGAGTTGCGTAGCGCGCGCGACAAGTTACTCTACTCGCGGTCATGCGTGATTTACGCATTGCAGCCAGCTAGTACCTTCTATGGAGAGCTCGCATGCATCTAGCTTTCAATGCTTGTCTCTTGTTCGTTTGGTAAGTCATATTGCAGTACAAATAACAATAATAGCATGAGTTCTGGGAGATAGTGTGAGAGCGCGTCAGCGATACAACCACCCCCCACGTGAGACACAGAGTCACTGATGGGGCTGAGCCACATACCACCCTCTCTCTCACACGATACTGTTGCCAATGAGTGAGTTTATATTCATTTTATGCATAAAATGTTATTTTCAACGCTATTACGAAAAATAAGACTTCTACAACGTAAGATACAATACCCCGCGGCGCACTCACGCCGCGAGGACCAGATTCACGAAAGTTGCAGCGGGAAATTTGACTCTAATTACGTTAATTTTCAAGATATCATTAAACGGTTTGGACCACAGTGTTGCCAGAACGTTGTAGTATTTTTCGTAATTTTTCGTAAATATTCCATTTTTCATCGGATTTTCGGTTACCATGGCCCCTTCAGCCCATGGGGTTGTTTTGATTGCTGCTGGCTCCTCCTTTTCTGGTGAAGAATGAGTCAGTTGGCTTCCGCAGGGGTCCATTGGGGGTTGATGGTTGGTTGGTTGGTTAGGCTGGGAGTACATCTTGTTTTTTGCCCGTTGGCAGTTCTTCGTTGCTACTTTCATGCCATTGCTTAGCCTCGGTGGGACTCGTTGTGGGTTGCTCAGATTTTCCTGGTCCCCTGTTCCAGGGCTCATGTTTCTCCAGTTGTCCGCAGTGTTCTTCAACCTGGCCTGCCTTCGGTCTTCCCTCATGCTCATGACATTCGTATGTTTGCTGCTCTCTCCGCTATTTTCATCTATGTCTTGGGCAGTTACTTGGGTACAGGGGGGTTTTGATGGTGGGACTGGATTATGGCACCCAGGTTCTGGTGCATATTCTTGGTCTTTGTCTGCCTTGTGAGGCCTTGGGTCGTGTGTCATGGCCCGTGGTTTCTTCTTTATTGTGATACCTGCAGTCCTTCCTCCTCCTCCATGTTGAGTGCTCTTGTTTTCCTTCTCTGTGGGTTGGTAGCTTTAGGGAGCCAAAAGTGACCTCCAGAAAACCAGTGTTGAAGGAAATGAAACTAAAATTTCTGGGCTAGCCCTGGTGGTTCCCTGACACCCTCTCTGCCCTAGGGAGTCAGGGGTAGCTTATCCCATTGTCATAGAACTTAGGGTGGAGCAGCCAGCTGACGCGGTCTGCCTCCCTCCCCCGCCAAATGAAGGGGGGAGGTGGGGCAAACGGTTTCATACCTTTTTGATCGTTTGTTTAAATTGTTTGGGGAATTCGTATAGTGAATTGAGACATTGATATTTCCTTATAACCAGCAGTAGTTTATTTTGTCTCATTGACTGTTGGTGCTTTCCCAGTGGTGGCGGACATGGTTAAAATTCACTAAGAATTCGATCATAGTGCAACTGCTCTCTCTGCCTCTTTGGAGGGGACCAGGTTCTGGCTTGTGGTCCGCAGTAGGCCTGGAAGAATTCCACGACTGATGGCACTTAGTAGTTTGGCACTATATCAGCAATGTAGCTTCAGGGAACCACTGGGGCTTGCCCAAAAATTGGCACTACATTGCATTCAACACTGGTTTTGTGGTGGGCATGTTTCATCTGGACTTGAATTTTTGCTCTTTCCTTTACCATTTTCCTCTGGTCCAGGTACTCCACTCCATATAGGTGTGATTGGTGATATTGGCAAGCCAAGTTGTTGTTCTGGTTAATGTGACTAGTTCAACCCTGTTTCCTCGCCCTCTTTACGTTGTTCATATTCCCTCCCCTTTATGAGGCTCTGTCTCTTTCAGCAGTTTGACATGTGGATCTGTCTGGACAGTTTGAGGCTCTGCCAATCTTTATTTATATAGTTTTAGGTCTTGTTTACTGTCTCCTTTGTGGGGGACATTGAAGTATAATTTGTTTTTATGATTTAATTTTTATTATAAATTTTGTTTCTCAAATGGGAGCATGTGTTCATTTAAAATTAAAGAATGTGGGGAATGATTATTTCCTCTCTAAGTTTATACTGGTGGAAAAGGAAATGCCTGGTATACGTATAAAAACGTACAAATAAGGTAAGATTCCACAGGCAGGGGAATTTAGTGATTTAATGAAACATTTTGGAGTTTGAGGAAATGTAGCAAGACATGAGTGCTTTTGTCATTTTATTTTTGGCCAGAAATTTGTAATAATTTACTTATTCGTTTCCAGATTGGTAAGTCAGATGATTATTTCACATCCAATGGTGATACAGGGAAAATAGTTACCTCAGATCACACCCTCAGTCGGCTAGAAACTCCTAGGCTGTCTTCAGAGGCCCTTCAGACAATCCTTTCGAGTGTGGCTGCATCTCATAAAGAAGAAAGAGCGGCACTAATTGAGGAACATAGGAATATGTTTCCTCGATGGATGACATTTTTGTGGTTAGTTTCATTGGCTTATTTTCCTACTCGAGTTCTTATTTAGCATCTCAGTAGGACAGTTGGATTCGTTCTTGACTCACAATCAGGAATCCTGGGTTCAGATTTCAGGTTCAAATCCCGGGCGGGAGGGAAGTGGTTGGGCAAGTCTCCTTTCACCTAATGCCTTGTGTTCACCTAGCAGTAAATAGGTACCTGGAAGTTAGTCATCTGTTGTGGAGTTGCATCTTGGGAAGGGTCTGTATTTCAGTGGGGGGACCTCGATACTAACCTAATATATACATACACAGGCTGCCTGTCACCCGAAAAAATGAATTGATTGATAAATTTAGAAGTGTTGACAGCAAAACTATTTATATGACCCTATGTTAATTCTAAAACCAAACATTGTGTTATACCCTTTAAACTATAAATACACTATAAACCCTTTAATTAAATTGGTTTATAGTGTACATATTTCTGGAATTGCTCTTCTTCCAACAGTATAGTGTTCTACACATCGAGTCTCCAAAATTAATATGCAGTAACTTGTACACTTTGAGTTTCATAATACCTTGATTGAAACTAGATCCAGTAAAAGTTGTATCTAATGACATGCTTGATGATAGGTTTGATCTATCATTTCAGGGTAGCTTTCATGAGTGTATGGCAGTGAGACTGTATGGCCACTATTGACATGCCTGGCCCCTGTGACTGTCTTGGCTCACTGTAGGCATCTCTAACTTCAAAATCTGTTTTGCCTCCTCACATCAGTGGGCATCAAAATCGGTCTGCTACTGAGAGGGAATCTTCCATAGCAAAGTAAACATTCTCACTCGGGAATTTTTGGAAATCAATAATGTTTTAAATAAATACATTAATAAATAACAAACCAGACACTAATTACACAAGTAACTTTTACATGCTCATTTATAAATTGAGACAATGGCAAATAAATTTAGCTGTTTTACTTTTGTTTTGGGGGAGCATTCATAAATGTATGTATTGGTGACTTGCTGCCCTGTTAGGTGCCTTGGGTTCAGTTCATGCATGCTCAATTTCTGCCACGAAGGATGTGTTTCTCACCACTCAATCAAAATTTCATACAGGTTCCTCAAGTTTATTCAGGGAAACCCTATTGTCATCACTATAATGCTAAATATATATGAATATTGTCTTTAGAGGTGATGGGAGAAGGTGACATGTGACTGATCTAGAAGTTTGGTTAGGGTGTCATATGACTTTCTTAGAGGGGTTGGTTAGCGCTGATAGCTTCCCAAATTATCAAAATACAGCCACTCTAAAGGTTGCAAGCACAACTGAAATTTGGCAAAATGATATCCAGTTGCCCACATGTTGAAGCATTGACATATGCGGCTCATACTTGCTGTGGGTATTATGAAAGCGCTTTCAGTGGAATGGTTATCAGAACTATGCCAACTCCATATTCACTGAGCACTTGTCAAAGTCCTTACCTATTAAATATTTCATATTTTGATATCCATAAAGGGGACACAAAGTTTGGAATTTTTTGTATGTGCTTCCTGTACAAGATGTCTCTTTGCAAATACATCACGTGATTTTTTTATGGTTGCACAATCACAAAACTCTTTCTCAGGTTTTCTGGTGCAGTACAGTACCACTATACAATGCCTTCTGATAAATTATCCTTACACAGTCCATTCCTTTTCTACACAACATTGAATAATTTACAGTTCACTTTATATGAATAAATTCTTCCACTGTTCCCTAGTATAAGTTTGGCCTTGCGGGAATGTTTTAAGTTTCCTGTGGCACTTCTACCTCAAATGTTTCCCTGCAACTGACTTGTTATTTTTCCTTATGGCAGCGGTATATTAATCTAGGGGGTAACCAAGCGAGTCTGCTCAGAAATGTGCTTTTCATATACAGTACTGTTACAGTATTGTACACTCAACTCCCATTTTTATCATGTTATTTACCAAATGTTTTAACCTTACAGTGAAGGCTTCAGCATATTCCTTTATGGTCTTGGAAGCAAGAAACAACTAATTTCAAAGTTCCAGCAAGAATATTTACCTGATTTTGACCACATCGTTGTCAATGGTTTCTTTCCATCCCTCACTCTTAAAAATGTAAGTTTTTAATATATGGTATGGTAATGCAATTACAGGTATACTTGGATTTAATTTTGTACTTGCCATGCCTCTTTTAATACAGTATATTAGTTGTCAGCCTATTGTTGCAAGTCATATATCCAGCCACCATAGTGCTGATATCCATGTAAGTTGTTATACCATATACACATACATAATAGTTTCACAGGTATAAACAAAATTCTGATATAGACTCGGATTCTTAAACAGTTGGGGATTACAACTTTAGATCACCACCTAATAGTAATTTCCAGCAGTTCATATTTATTTGATATTTATCCTATTCTTGAGTTTTCTGGGGGGGAGCCCCTACGGCTCCCCGGAGCTTACTAGGCTGATATGCTAATGTCAGACTTTGGCATCAGTCATGTGTAGAGAGTTCTTATGGGCCTACTGGGGACCATGAGCCAGAACCTGGCCCCCTCTAGAGAGGCAACGGGAGCAATGGCCTATAGAAACCCCCGTGTAATTGGAAGCATTCTATGTCTGCCATCGACCGGGTTAGGCACGCAGAAAGGTAGGCGTTCCAAAACAAACCCCTATTCTGGTGAAAATTGCAACCAAAAGCCAAACGAGTGGATAGAACTCCCCAAACAAAAACGAGCAAACTAGTATGACGTCACCCGTCGTTGCGCCGCTGTCTGCGCAGCCCCCCCCCCCCTCCCCGGGAGGGGGAAGGAGTAGCGCCAGATCTACCACGTCAGCAATCCATACCCCAGTTCTTGAGGCTGATGCTATCGGCTCAGTTGTGTGCTCTGGCTCCAGTATTTTTGCGGCGCTGTGCCTTGTGTGTGGTTGCTGTTCTCCAGGGGTGCGAAAGCCAGGGGTTATTCCTCGGTACTCAGGCTGCATGCACCTAGGGTTCCCTTCCCTAGGTGCCTTGTAAGTACTGCCCTTGCGGCTTGGGGTTACCTTCCACAGGTTCCTTTGGCTCTGCCTCTGTGTGTCTGTTTTACTGCTCGGTTTCTCGGCCACCCTTTGGGTACTTGTGTGTTTTATCTCCCTAGTTTACCTTAGAGTAAGAGGCAGTTTTTGCACTGGTAAGGGCCGCAGGGTGCTGCGCAGCTTGTTGTCACCTATCACAGCGCCTGGCTCTGTTCCTTGGGGTACGTTGTACGAGTATTGTTGTTTGCTGGTGACTCAATTTTCCCAATCTGTGGATGATCATCTTCGGGTACAGGCTGTGCAGGCGTTGCATTCTAGGTTTCGGTTGTTGCAACGCGCTCGGTTGGTTACTCACCCAGATGCCCCGGGGCTGCCCCGTTTTGCTTATAGGGACCTGGACTTGGGGGTTTGGGTTGCTTCGACCCTGGTTCAGTCCATTTAAAAAGTTCAAAAGGCTTTCAGGTTTGGGACTTCGTTCCCTTTCTGCCTCCGTTACGAGGTTTCGAAGTCGTCCTGGCTGGCGGACTGTCCTGTCTTTACCGTGGAGGCTTGGCACTCCTCCTGCCGCTCATGTAAGCTTGAGTGGCAAGAAGCTTCGACGGTGCTTCAGGTTTTCCTGGGGGGCGACCTTGAGCACCTCAATGAGTGCTTGTTTGCTCCTGCCCTTCCCCGGGATGTTGGTTTTGTTCAGCTCCATGTGCAGATTCCCTCCCTTTCGGCAGCGCAGGTGGCGGAGGACTTGCGCGCTCGGGGCCTTTTGGTTGCAGCCTTGAGCTTCTTTTCCTTCCTGGAGCCATCTTCCGCCTGGCTCAGAGGATGTGGGGCGCTAGGGGCTGTTCCTGAGTCTTGCCCCTTGGCCTCGGTGGCTCGCTCGTTGGCTGCCGTGCTGAAGCTTTCACGCCGATCTTGTGGGATGTGGTGGCTCTGTTTTATGCCTCCTCTGTGGAATCGGCTTTGGCCTCGGCTCTTAGGATGTCTTCCCCTTTTTGCCCTATTTTGTTTGAGGCTTCCATCGTTACGCAGTATGTTCAGGCTGCTTTGGCTTCTTGCCGTCCTATGTCGGACTTGCTGGTTCTCCGGGGGTCCCGTTGTGGACCTTCCCGGAAGGGTCGTGCCAAGGCTCGGGGTTCCTCTCATCGTGGTAGGCAACTGGTGTCAGGTTCGGGTTCAGCTCCTCCTTCGGACCCGCCTTCGTCTTGTCGGCGCGGATTTCGATCTGTGCGAGGTTCTGGGTCTCGTAAGGGGCGCCGGCCCTTTCGCGGTTCACCCTATTGACGGGGCGATGGAGGGTTGGCTTACACTGTTCGCTCACGCCTGGTCCCATGATTTGTGGGCGTTTCGAGTCGTTTCGCACAGCCTCCGGTGACGTTGGGTGGCCATTCCTCCTGTGGGGGGTTCGGGGCTGGCGGGGCAGGCTTCTTCCCCTGCGCTCTGTCAGGTCATTTTGGAGTGGGTTCGCTTGGGCGTGGTCGAAACAACGATGTCCTTTAGATTGGTTTCCCGACTGTTTCCAGTCCCGAAACAGGACTGAGTGGACCTGCGGTTCATTCTGGACTTGTCCCGTCTGAACCCCTGGGTTCATTGCCCCTCCTTTCAGATGACCACGCTGTCCCAGGTTCGGCCCCTGTTGGAGCCGGGCACCTGGATGGTGTCCCCTGGACCTCCGGGACGCTTATTGGCATGTCCCAATTCATCCGGGGTTCAGGGACTGGCTCGGTTTTGTTGTGGGGCTTTGTGCTTACCGTTTTTGTTGTCTTCCGTTCGATTTGAACCTGGCACCGTGGTGACCCGTCTGCGTCTGTTAGGTGTTCGGGTGTTGGCCTACCTCGACGACTGATTGGTTTGGGCTCCCAGCCAGTCCGTTTATCTGCTTGCCAGGGATCTGGTTCTTTCTCAGCTTGCCGGGTTCAGGTTCTTGGTGAACTGGAGAAAGTCCCATCTGGTTCCCTCACAGGTTCGGACCTGGCTGGGCCTTGTGTGGGACTCTTGACCACTTCCTCCAGTCTCTTCTGCGGCTGCGGTCCTGCTTGTGCCTGTTTCTTGTGGGGGGGGGGAGCTCCCGGGTCACCCGGTGGTTGCTCGAGGTTCTGTGCGGGAGCTTGAACTTCGCGATGCTGGTCTACCGCCAAGTCGGGTTTGGCTTCGTCGGCTGTTCTGGTTCCTTCGGGGACGTCCCTTCCGCCTCTCTCGCGATCGCTGGGTTCAGACCCTGGGGGCTTTGCGTCAATTGCTGCATCACTGGCTTCCTTTTCGTTTTTTGGGGGGGTTCAGTGCCTTGGCGCCTACCTGAGCTCTCGCTCGATGTGTACATGGACGTATCGTCTCTCGGCTGGGGCTTTGTGACCAGTGCTCACCAAGCCGGCCAGGGATGGTGGGATTCGTCCTTTCATCGAGCCCACAGTACTGTGCGGGAGTTTGCGGCGGCGTGGTTTGCTCTTTGGAGGATTCAAGTCGTCCGCTGGTCGACGATTCGGCTCCATTCGGACTGCTTCCTGGTGGTTCATTGTCTGAACCGGGAGGGGGAAACTTCGATTAGGTCTGGCTGGCTCTTTGGCGCTGGTCGCTTCGGGTGTCTTGTCTGCCGAATTCTTGGAGTTTGGCTTTCCTGGCAGTTCACGTGCAGGGAGTGTCCAACGTCTTGGCCGACGGCCTGTCTCGTTTTGTTCCCTTCTCCACGGAATGGAAGGTCGACACCAACTCCTTCCGTTGGCTTTGCTAGAGGTTTGGACCCCCCGAGGTGGACCTCTTCGCGCAGGCATGGTCACCGCGCCTTCCCCTGTATGTGGCGTTCTTTCCCGACTGCGAGGCTGTTGGGGTCGACGCCTTTCGGCAGGACTAGTCGAGGTGGGGGTTCCTGTACCTCTTTTCCCCGGTTTAGCTATTGCTCCAGGTCCTGACTTGCTTAGACTTACCAGGGGAGAGTTGTCTTCTTGGCCCCTTGGTGGCCGGCCCAGCCGTGGTTTCAGGCGCTGCTTGCTCGGTGTCCGAACCCGGAGGTTGTTCCGTGGCTCCGCCTCTTCCAGCAGATCGGACCGGTACGTCACGTGGATGGTTCGATCTTCTCCTTGAGTCTTTGCATATGGTATTTTTGACGCGCGTTTATCATCATCTCTATGGTGATCAGGTGGCTTCCTTATTAGTGTCCCACCTGCGGGCTTCGTCTCGGCGGCAGTATGAAGTTTCCTGGTGGTCCTTCCAGTTTTTCTTTCGCCTTTGTCGTTGTACTTCGCTTTCTGTTAGGGTGTTGTCCTTTCTCTCTTGGTTGTTCCAGGACCTTCTTCTTATGCTAAACACTGTCTCCTCGTATCATGCGACGCTGGCAGAGCCGCTTCAGCTTGCTTTCGGTATTGATGTCAAGTCTGCGCTGTTTCGCATGCTGTCTCGGGCGTTGTTTTACCTCCGGCCTGCTCATGCACTGTCTGAGCTGTCCTGGTCATTGGACAGAGTGGTCTCTTTTTTTTTCTTCTCGTTTTGTTTTCGCCCCTTCGATTCCGGATTGTTTTTCGAAGGCCCTTTTTTTTTTCCTGCTGGCATTGACCTCTGGAGGTTGGGTAGGTGAGCTTCATGGTCTCCTCCGGCACAGAGGTTTCTGCTTCTTCGGCCGGGGTGATCGGTTTGTTCGTCTGCAGCCTTCTCCTTTTCTGGCGAAGAATGAGACTGCTGCATTCTGGAGGGGTCCCTGGGTTGTTGATGCTTGATTGTTTCGGCCGGGGTGCATCATGTTTTGTGCCCGGTTCGAGAAACTAAACCTAATTATTATTCTAATATATAAACCGCCAGATACAACGATTGAGGAATTCACAGAACAGATGCACAAAATAGAGAACATACTTGACAACCTAGCAAACCCAGCTCCAGATATTATCTTTCTTGGAGATTTCAATTTACCGAGTCTAAGATGGAGAACGGCAAACACAAATATCATAGCAGGGAATGACCCGGGAAATAACCAACCACAGGTTAGAGAACTTTTGAGATTCTGTGACAAATTCTCGCTCAATCAACAGATTACAGAACCAACTAGGAACGAAAACACACTAGACTTGTTATTCACAAACAATGATGAACTAATCAGGGATATCACAATCTCAGATACTTCATACTCAGACCATAAGCTCATTGAAGTGCGAACTAGCATAAATAACGGTAGTAGGTCTAAGAGACCCAACAAGCGAGAAGGAATATTCAATCAATTCAATTTCAACAATAAGAGGATTGACTGGGAAAAAATAAATGTAGACCTTGCAACCATTCAATGGGAGACGGTCTTAAGCGACAAAACTCCCACACAGGGAATAGCTCAACTGACAGCTGAAGCTTACAAGGTCTGCTTGAAGCACGTACCTGTGAGGAGGGGCAGAAAGAGGACCACTCTAGAAAGAGAACGGAGACGACTGTACAGGAGAAGGAAAAAAATAACGGAAATGCTTCGGCAGACACAACTATCACAAGCAAGGAAAACAAGCCTAAGCAGGGAGATTGAGGAAATAGAACAAACGTTGAAGCGATCATATGAGTCTGAGGAAATGGAATTGGAACAGAAAGCTATACAAGAGATAAGGAAAAATCCGAAATATTTTTTCACATACGCAAAATCAAAATCCAAAACCTCGACCAGTATTGGACCGTTAATTACAAATGAAGGTACGTACACAGAGGACAACAAAGAGATTAGTGAAATTCTAAGAAGCCAGTATGAGGCTATGTTTAGCACACCAATAAACAACATGAAAGTTGATGACCCAGACAGCTTCTTTATGAATGACATTCAAGCTGCAGATAATATAACGGATATTACCACAAACTCGGAAGACTTTGAAAGAGAAATTGATAATATGCCTATGCACTCAGCTCCTGGGCCTGACTCATGGAATTCAATATTCATAAAGAAATGTAAAGTACCAGTAGCGAGAGCACTCAGCGTAATATGGAGAAAGAGCCTGGATACAGGGGAGATACCAGCAGCACTTAAATCTGCAGATATAGCTCCGTTGCACAAGGGGGGGAGTAAAGCCTTGGCAAAAAATTATAGGCCAGTTGCACTAACATCACACATAATAAAAGTGTTTGAAAGAGTGATTAGGAATCAAATTTCTAGTTTTATGGAAAACAATGAATTGCACAATCCAGGACAACATGGATTTAGAGCGGGAAGATCCTGTCTGTCACAGTTACTCAACCACTATGACAAAATCACAGAAGCCCTAGAAGAAAAGCAAAATGCAGATGTTGTATACACAGACTTTGCAAAGGCGTTCGACAAATGTGACCATGGGGTGATAGCTCACAAAATGAGGTCAATGGGAATAACTGGAAAAGTAGGACGCTGGATACTCAATTTCCTGTCGAACAGAACACAAAGAGTAACAGTCAATCAGATAAAATCGAGTCCAAGCGATGTTAAAAGCTCTGTACCTCAAGGTACAGTCCTTGCACCGCTACTGTTCCTTATTCTCATATCTGATATAGACAAAAATACACGCCACAGCTTCGTGTCGTCCTTTGCAGATGACACAAAAATCAGCAAGAAAATTACCTCTGCTGAAGACATTGAAAAACTACAAGCAGATGTCAACAAAGTTTTTGATTGGGCAGCAGAAAATAACATGATGTTTAACAGTGATAAATTTCAGGTACTCAGGTACGGCAAAAATGAGGATCTGAAACATAATACAGGGTACAAAACACAATCGAATCTTCCCATAGTAGGAAAACAGCATGTCAAGGATTTGGGAATAATGATGTCCGACGATCTAACGTTTAGGGAGCATAACCAAGCAAATATCGCGTCAGCCAGAAAAATGATCGGATGGATTACGAGAACTTTCAAATCCAGGGATCCCATCACAATGGTTGTACTCTTCAAGTCACTTGTGCTGTCCCGTCTCGAGTACTGCTCAGTACTCACTTCCCCCTTCAGAGCAGGAGAGATTGCTGAAATAGAGGGAATACAGAGAACATATACGGCACGCATAGACGAGATAAAACACCTAAATTATTGGGATCGTCTCAAAGCTCTCCAAATGTACTCTCTAGAAAGGAGACGAGAGAGATACCAAATAATATACACCTGGAAAATACTGGAGGGTCAGGTCCCAAATCTACACAGTAAAATAACAACGTACTGGAGTGAACGATATGGAAGAAAATGCAAGATTGAACCTGTGAAGAGCAGAGGTGTCATAGGCACAATCAGAGAGCACTGTATAAACATCAGGGGTCCGCGGTTGTTCAACGTCCTCCCAGCGAGCATAAGAAATATTGCCGGAACAACCGTGGACATCTTCAAGAGAAAACTGGACGGTTTTCTAAGAGAAGTTCCGGATCAGCCGGGCTGTGGTGGGTACGTGGCCCTGCGGGCCGCTCCAAGCAACAGCCTGGTGGACCAAACTCTCACAAGTCGAGCCTGGCCTCGGGCCGGGCTTGGGGAGTAGAAGAACTCCCAGAACCCCATCAACCAGGTATCAACCAGGTATCAACCAGGTTGCATCTCCGCCGTTATTTGCGCGCCACGGCTTCTGTGTCCGCGGATGCGCTTTGGGTTGATCCGGTTTACCTTCTTCCCTGTTCGAGGGTGCGGGTCTCCCAGGTCGTCCGCAGGGTTATTAAGGCTAGCCAGCCTGCGGTCTATCCCCGTGCCCATGACGTCTGCAAGTTCGCAGCTCTTGATGCCGTCTTTGGCAATATGCCCTGGGCTGACATTCGGGCGCAGGGATTTTGGCGGTTGAACAGGGTCCTGGTTGTGTGTTACTTTGTATAAACGTTCCTGGGCCCAGTCGGGCCTGTGTCGCTTTGGGTCGGGGGGATGTATCCAGTTGTCTCGACTTCGGTTGAGGAGTGACCAGCAACCGCCTCCCGGGTAAATCCCTATTCTTTTCCTCTGTTGGTAGTTAGCTCCGGGGAGCCGTAGGCCCCCCCCCCCCCAGAAAACCAGCGTTGAATGTAATGAAACGCCATTTTCTGGCCAAGTCCTGGAGGCATCCCTGCATCCCTCCCTCCCTTCGGTCTGCATTTTTTTCGCGTGTTTTGACATCCAGCCTCAGAACTGGGGTGTGGATTGCTGGCGCGGTAGGTATGGGGCTACCCCTTCCCCCTTCCCGGGATTGGGGGGCTGCGCAGACAGCAGCACGACGATGGGTGACGTCATAGTTTGCTCATTTTTGTTTTGGGAGTTCTATCCACTCGTTCGGCTTTTGGTTGCAATTTTCACCAGAATAGGGGTTTTTGTGACCCTTACCTTTCTGGGTGGCTAACCCAAAAAATTCTTGGCAAGGTTTCCAAGCTTGCTTCCTTGTGCCAAAGATATGGGTCCACCCATCTCATTGCTAGTACGCTGTCTTGAGTGCCCAAGCTCAACCAAAACAAGTAACTTCTCAATTGGTCTTGTCTGATAGAGAGAGAGAGATAAAGACAACGTATACCCCAGTCCAATGAGGATAACTGTTCAATTACATTAACAATTTTTATTAGAAACTCGAAACCATCTCAGAAAAATTATTGGAGCCTCTAAAGTAGCAGATAATTGTTTTGAAAGTACATAAGTAACAACTATAATCTCCTCCACTGACTGCTGTATGATGAGAGCACTAGGTAGTATAACCAGATCACAGGAGGTCACCACTCACGCTGTGTGCCTGGCATCCACGAAGGCAAGTACATGGCTCAACAGACTGTCCTATTGACTGGTTATAATTTTAAGGTCACATTTCTGCAGCAGATTTTGTGCTTTTTAGTGTTCAATTTATGGCATGGTGCCCAGTAATTTTTTTTGCCTCTGAATTATAAGATCCACCTTAACATGATTGTTTTAGGGTTGCCTTCTCTGGCACTGATTGTGAGGACCAACAGCCTCTAGACATACCACCTTTGAGGTTGTTCTGTAATCTTCAGTATGGTCGGAGTCCTGTTGGGCCTCTTCCTTGGTGGTGCTTTTTGGGACTTCTCTTGGTTATGGCATTGGTGTATTTGTTCTTGAAAGCTGTAAATGGAAGTGGTTTGCTGCTTTGTTTCAGGCTCATTGCAATTTTTTTTGTCCCCCTCACTGAATACAATTATTTTCTTACAGCAATCTGGCTCATTTTGTGTTTTTAACTTCCACCTATGCATCTCAATCTGTTTCTCACCTGGAAAAGTGTGTTTCTATATACTTTTATTTCTTTCTTGCAGCATCTCTTCTTATGGGCAATAGGCTAATTTAAAGTGTTATTCTGGTCTCACAGCTCAAGATCTGAATCTTTTAATGTAATTTTCCACTGTAGACAGGAAATGCGTTGATAGCGAGGAAGAGAAGCAATAGATAAAATACAGAAACGAGAAGAGAATTTTGGTAGGCTATTATGAGCATTAACAATTACAAAAAATATGATAATGTAGATGTATGTAGGAAGCACATGTGTGTAAAAGTATTTTATGTGACAGATATGTATTTTCTAAATGAATTCAATAGATTTAACTTTTACAAATTATTTCTTTGCAGATTTTAAATAACATAACAGAAGATATTTTAGATCACACGGGTAGTTTTCACAGTGTCCAAGAGCAGCTGGAATTTATTCATGAATTCTACACGAAAACAAGTGCAGAATCCTTGTTCATAATTATCCACAATATAGATGGTCCAATGCTTCGTGGAGAAAAAGCTCAATCTGCTATTGCGTACTTGGCTTCAATTCCCAATGTTCATCTCCTGGCTTCCATCGACCACATCAATGCTCCTCTCAGTAAGATAATTCTTTGACTTGTGTTAGTGAATTACGTATTATATATGTTGATCTTGGCTGCTTATGATCAAGCATTCATTTGATCTTTTTAGATTGCCCCGTATTAGTCATAATTACTGTCTTTGGATTTTTTCAGTCAGACTTGTGGATGGATTCTTTTAATTTAAGTGAGTAAAATTTTAAATACAGTATGTCAGTTTTCCCCTCATTTGGAAAGTAGCTTCTTTTCATTGGATAATGAGTCAGTAATTATCCCTTAAAGTGCGCAAAACATCATATGATGTCTTGAATAACTGTCGATAAATTGCCCACGACACGATGTGATGTTTGGGAGTCTTACGCAAGATTAAAAGTCCTGTGGCTACATGCGGTTCACATCAGCTTCCTCAGGGCTCTTGTAAACAGACTCCATTTAAAAAAAAAATTGTGGGCAACATTCCCTGGTGTGCGAGCCTCGGTACTGAGTGAGACACCAAGGCTGGTGCACGCAGCATGAGCTCACAGCACTGCTGTTCAGCTTGTGACCACAGCATCGCCTAAAAAATGGACATACATACATACATATATATATATATATATATATATATATATATATATTTTATTAAATATGACCGAAAAAGTAAGATTAATAATTCTAACACGAATTTTCTCAATCTTTCGTACATTATGCTTCACTGTTGGAGGTAAATCAAAAATCACTTCTCCAAAATTCATTTTTATTTCTAGTCTGACGCGACACGGGCGCGTTTCGTAACACTTATTACATTTTCAAAGACTTCACAAATACACAACTGATTTTCCCTGATTTTATATCTACATTTGAGTGAGGTGGGAAGGGTGATGTGGCATTACATTTGAGTGAGGTGGGAAGGATGATGTGGCATTAGAGGATATTAATAGGGTATTAAAAGTATCAACACAAGACAGAACACGAAACAATGGATATTGAATAGAAGTGTTTGTAGAAAGCCTATTGGTCCATATTTCTTGATGCTTCTATATTGGAGCGGAGTCTTGAGGTGGGTAGAATATAGTTGTGCAATAATTGGCTGTTGATTGCTGGTGTTGACTTCTTGATGTGTAGTGCCTCGCAAACGTCAAGCCGCCTGCTATCGCTGTATCTATCGATGATTTCTGTGTTGTTTACTAGGATTTCTCTGGCGATGGTTTGGTTATGGGAAGAGATTATATGTTCCTTAATGGAGCCCTGTTGTTTATGCATCGTTAAACGCCTAGAAAGAGATGTTGTTGTCTTGCCTATATACTGGGTTTTTTGGAGCTTACAGTCCCCAAGTGGGCATTTGAAGGCATAGATGACGTTAGTCTCTTTTAAAGCGTTCTGTTTCGTGTCTGGAGAGTTTCTCATGAGTAGGCTGGCCGTTTTTCTGGTTTTATAGTAAATCGTCAGTTGTATCCTCTGATTTTTGTCTGTAGGGATAACGTTTCTATTAACAATATCTTTCAGGACCCTTTCCTCTGTTTTATGAGCTGTGGAAAAGAAGTTCCTGTAAAATAGTCTAATAGGGGGTATAGGTGTTGTGTTAGTTGTCTCTTCGGAGGTTGCATGGCTTTTCACTTTCCTTCTTATGATGTCTTCGATGAAACCATTGGAGAAGCCGTTATTGACTAGAACCTGCCTTACCCTACAGAGTTCTTCGTCGACTTGCTTCCATTCTGAGCTGTGGCTGAGAGCACGGTCGACGTATGCGTTAACAACACTCCTCTTGTACCTGTCAGGGCAGTCGCTGTTGGCATTTAGGCACATTCCTATGTTTGTTTCCTTTGTGTAGACTGCAGTGTGGAAACCTCCGCCCTTTTCCATGACTGTTACATCTAGAAAAGGCAGCTTCCCATCCTTTTCCGTCTCGTAAGTGAAACGCAGCACGGAACTCTGCTCAAATGCCTCCTTCAGCTCCTGCAGATGTCTGACATCAGGTACCTGTGTAAAAATGTCGTCAACATACCTGCAGTATATGGCCGGTTTCAAGTTCATGTCGACTAAGACTTTTTGCTCGATGGTACCCATGTAGAAGTTTGCAAACAGGACACCTAGGGGAGAACCCATAGCGACCCCATTTACTTGCTTATACATATGCCCATCCGGGCTCAAGAAGGGTGCCTCTTTAGTACAAGCTTGGAGTAGTTTCCTCAGAATACTTTCTGGCATGTCAAGAAAGTATTGACATGCCAGTATCTGGCATGTCATGAAAGTATTGAAAGTTCTTGACATGCCAGAAAGTATTCTGAGGAAACTACTCCAAGCTTGTACTAAAGAGGCACCCTTCTTGAGCCCGGATGGGCATATGTATAAGCAAGTAGATGGGGTCGCTATGGGTTCTCCCCTAGGTGTCCTGTTTGCAAACTTCTACATGGGTACCATCGAGCAAAAAGTCTTAGTCGACATGAACTTGAAACCGGCCATATACTGCAGGTATGTTGACGACATTTTTACACAGGTACCTGATGTCAGACATCTGCAGGAGCTGAAGGAGGCATTTGAGCAGAGTTCCGTGCTGCGTTTCACTTACGAGACGGAAAAGGATGGGAAGCTGCCTTTTCTAGATGTAACAGTCATGGAAAAGGGCGGAGGTTTCCACACTGCAGTCTACACAAAGGAAACAAACATAGGAATGTGCCTAAATGCCAACAGCGACTGCCCTGACAGGTACAAGAGGAGTGTTGTTAACGCATACGTCGACCGTGCTCTCAGCCACAGCTCAGAATGGAAGCAAGTCGACGAAGAACTCTGTAGGGTAAGGCAGGTTCTAGTCAATAACGGCTTCTCCAATGGTTTCATCGAAGACATCATAAGAAGGAAAGTGAAAAGCCATGCAACCTCCGAAGAGACAACTAACACAACACCTATACCCCCTATTAGACTATTTTACAGGAACTTCTTTTCCACAGCTCATAAAACAGAGGAAAGGGTCCTGAAAGATATTGTTAATAGAAACGTTATCCCTACAGACAAAAATCAGAGGATACAACTGACGATTTACTATAAAACCAGAAAAACGGCCAGCCTACTCATGAGAAACTCTCCAGACACGAAACAGAACGCTTTAAAAGAGACTAACGTCGTCTATGCCTTCAAATGCCCACTTGGGGACTGTAAGCTCCAAAAAACCCAGTATATAGGCAAGACAACAACATCTCTTTCTAGGCGTTTAACGATGCATAAACAACAGGGCTCCATTAAGGAACATATAATCTCTTCCCATAACCAAACCATCGCCAGAGAAATCCTAGTAAACAACACAGAAATCATCGATAGATACAGCGATAGCAGGCGGCTTGACGTTTGCGAGGCACTACACATCAAGAAGTCAACACCAGCAATCAACAGCCAATTATTGCACAACTATATTCTACCCACCTCAAGACTCCGCTCCAATATAGAAGCATCAAGAAATATGGACCAATAGGCTTTCTACAAACACTTCTATTCAATATCCATTGTTTCGTGTTCTGTCTTGTGTTGATACTTTTAATACCCTATTAATATCCTCTAATGCCACATCATCCTTCCCACCTCACTCAAATGTAATGCCACATCACCCTTCCCACCTCACTCAAATGTAGATATAAAATCAGGGAAAATCAGTTGTGTATTTGTGAAGTCTTTGAAAATGTAATAAGTGTTACGAAACGCGCCCGTGTCGCGTCAGACTAGAAATAAAAATGAATTTTGGAGAAGTGATTTTTGATTTACCTCCAACAGTGAAGCATAATGTACGAAAGATTGAGAAAATTCGTGTTAGAATTATTAATCTTACTTTTTCGGTCATATTTAATAAAATATGTCTACAGGAAAGACTGCTACCAAAATATACTAATATATATATATATATATATATATATATATATATATATATATATATATATATATATATATATATATATGGAATATATATATATATATGTCGTACCTAGTAGCCAGAACGCACTTTTCGGCCTACTATTCAAGGCCCGATTTGCCTAATAAGCCAAGTTTTCCTGAATTAATATATTTTCTCTAATTTTTTAGTTATGAAATGATAAAGCTACCCATTTCATTATATATGAGGTCAATTTTTTTTATTGGAGTTAAAATTAACGTAGATATATGACCAAACCTAACCAACCCTACCTAACCTAACCTAAGCTATCTTTATAGGTTAGGTTAGGTTAGGTAGCAGAAAAAGTTAGGTTAGGTTAGGTAGGTTAGGTAATCGAAAAACAATTAATTCATGAAAACTTGGCTTATTAGGCAAATCGGGCCTTGCATAATAGGCTGAGAAGTGCGTTCTGGCTACTAGGTACGACATATATATATATATATATATATATATATATATATATATATATATATATATATATATATATATATATATATATATATATATATATATATATATATATATATATATATATAAATAATAATAATAATTTGACTTGCAACAATGATTGAACCCGTCTGTGACATTCATCAATGTTTCCCATTGTTGTGTTTTTCAAGAGATCCATAACCTTTAAGCACCTTTTTGCATTATTATTTTTGTATCAACCCATGTATATCTTGTAACCATCAAATGTATAATAAAGCACAAAAAATAAAAAAGGAAGGGGGTGGTAGGGGAGAAGCACACAGAAACTGTATTGGAGGGGATCTAAACATTCCCTCTAATGCGTTATGCGTGGTTTCCTCCGAGGCTATGGGTCCCCCTTCTTCCAGCTAGAGGTGGTACTCTTACTTTCTTAGATATTTTTATTTTTAGAATATATATATATATATAATATATAAAATATATATATATATATATATATATATATATATATATATATATATATATATTTTATATATATATATTTTTATATATATATATATATAATATATAAAATTTATATATAATATATATATATATATATATATATTATATATATATAATATATATATATAATATATATGTAATATATATATATATAATATATATATATTACATATATAAGGTCCAATTTGC